AACAGGATGAATGTAAAATTAGTGGATTTAAGAAAAAGATGAATGTGAGGAACCACACAGATAAAATGCAATTAATACAGAATATATTAATTCTTTTACGCGATCACAATATTAATGTACCCGAAAAAATATTAACCCTTACTGAGAAATGGTTTACTAATATAATAATGAAAAATAAAAGTGATACTGAAGAAGAAGAGAAATTTATACGCAGTATAAAGCTACGTCCCCTCCACTCTTATAAATCAACAACAAGCGTTCATTATTGTTTTGGTATTTTTATAGAAACAATTCAGCCGGGTATATTGACAGCTGAAGCAGGCACACACGTGTCCTACTACAATTTGATACCTCTTATTCCATTTAAACAACTTCCCAGAAAGAGTGTTCGAATGTGTCCACTAACAAATTTCAATCCTCAGCTTCATTCAATAGACAGATCAGAGGGTATTATTTCTGATATAGGTCAGATAATTAATTGTTTAATACAGGCGATATTAATTGAATATAATATTCAAAGACAAAATAAACAAGTAAAAAAGAAAGGTGGTGATGATCTATACATAGAAGGATTAATTGAAAAATATTTAGAAGAGGAGCGGTTTCGTTTATATGAAAAATACAGGTCGATTGGTTATTATGTATATAATTTTAGCGCCTGTAAAACTTCCCTCATACCTAAAATAGATATATCTGATATCTGGCCTAGCTTTTTAGAAACTGTTTCTTCGTTAAATATTCCTAAAAATCAATGTTGGTGGAGATCTTCTGGGAGACAGTGTATTTTATTAAATGTAATTTTTAATATTGAAGAAGAAAGGACTAAAATAACTTTAACGAGTGATCCCCAGAGGCGAAGATATTCTAGTCTTCGACAACTAGAATCAATACTAACAATTAGACCTAAAATTCTTCAAAAATACATTTGTATTACCTCTCCTTCTCCATGTTATTCTATTAATCCCATATCAATGAAGGAGGTTGTATCATTTTTATCGTTTGTTTATAGCCTAGACAACGATTGTTTAAAACGTATAACATTATATCCTCCTCCTCCTCCTCCTCCTCCTCCTTCTTCTTCAAACTCCTCTCCTCTGCTGCTTTTATCCAATCCCGTAAAGTGGTTAATAATACTACCATTTATTACTTTAAGGTGTTCTGGTACGAAATTAGAGTATGTGTATTATTAATTAAAAATAAAATTTATTATACTAATTACTTTTTTTTTTCTTACATTATTTTTCGAGGTTTATTGAAAAAAAATAAATTACAAATTTAGGAAATATCTTTTTATCCATTAATAATTTACAAGTGATAGGTATTTATGGGTCAATTTTTTTTCATGCCTATGCTGTGTACCTAAAGATGATGATGAGTCTGTGATAATTCAAGTAAATTAAAGTTCTTTTAAAATTAGTTATAATCGAAGTCATTGATAGTATATAATGTTATAAATATTTGGGAAGTAGAAAAACAACATTATTATTATTATATAAATCAATTTAATTAAAAAACATAGATATAGAAAAAACAATTACTTAACCTGATTAATTTTCTTTATGTGTGAGACAAATTGTACACTGACTTGATAATGAATAAGGATTATCGAAACAGGAACAAAATGCCTTGGGAGCATTACATGGAATACACCATGGAATGAAATGATTATGACACCAGTTGGTAGACCACGGCGAATCATCTCTAGTTTTTTTCCAGTCATATGTATCTGGTTTAACAATATACTTAACAGGCTTTGAATTCCCCAACTTATAACTATACCATATATCCTCATCTTCACCCAATCCATGTCGTATTCTCCAAGATTTAATAGTAGATTCTTTATCTAGTTTATTTAGATCTATATATTCGAGTAATTGGTTTAAAATACTCCCTTCTAATTTAGGTTGAATATAATATTCATTCAAAAAATCAAAGTCAAAATTTCCGAAGATTAAACTGTCTAAGATACGCAGTCTTAATTCAGGTTTTTCTTCTCTAAAATCCAGCCAATCCATTTCTCCCTCATGAATAGATAGTAGATAGTAGGCTGCTTATATATATCCAGTACGCACGTTAAAAATTTTTCAATGTTTTTCCACTGTTACATTGAATTTGACTGATGTTTCAGGGTTTTTCTCGTTGTCAATATCCTTGGCCCACATATTGCAAGTAATTTCAACTGTGGTGTTAATTTCATTTTTAAGATTCAGCTGCAATGCAACTATAGGTTTCCGATAGCCTGTTAGGTTTGTATTGGAGAAGAAGGATTTTGGGAAACCAGGACCGTAGTAGGAGTGAATTCCAAGTAATGTGCAAGACACCCATATAACCTCTTGCATGGTATTATTGTTGTTGTAAGTGATGTCTTTAATTTTGTTTTTAAATCGATGGGGCATCTGGCTGGGTAATTCCATAATGTCATCGTAAGGATCAAATTTTGTATTTGTTTTCCCATTGTAAGACAATATGATGCAAGGAGATGTTGTGTTGTAGTTCCAAACATTTTCTGGATTACATTCATGTCCCAGTATTTCCTTTGGCAAAATACAGACTTGTGTAGCATTTGGTTCAACTCCTGAGGGACATGCAATTATCTCGGTATCATCAGCTTTGGTAGCATTGTTGTAGTAGCCCATTAAAAATTGATTTAAAGAAGATATTTCCTTTTCATACGTGCTCTTCTGATTAGGATTAAACTTTATATTTCCTGAAGGTATGACAAACAAACCCTCTTTCTCTGCTGTCACAGCAGAAGTTACATGTTACAAAAGTCACCACCGCCACTATTACTATGAAACAACAACCACTTATTACAATTGTTGCTTTTTTGTTTGAAGAAGATATTTTCTCTTTAAGGTATAGATAACTTTTCCTTGGAGTTTCACTTGGCACTGTTATCATATTTCTAGACATGTTACCGTACCAAAACATCTTCTTCCTTTCTTCCTTTTAGTCCATCCAGATTGATACAGATAGGATTCCTAAATGTCAAAGTGTGTCTGACCGGTCATATCGTTGTGCTCTTCTTTATATATTATTATGGTGGGTGAGTTGGACGGATGAACAGACAGATAGACAGACATACAGACAGACAGACAACTACCTGCCTCGGCCTCGAAAATAAAAATTAAAAATAAAATTTATTATACAAATATATATACTCCCGATTTCTTACTTCTCGAATTACTTTCTTTTTTTTCCTTATAACATGGGGGTACATCATTTTTCGAGGTTTATAGAAAAAACTAAAATTGAATTATCTGTGGACAAAAAAGAACATTTAATTACAAATTTAGGAAATATTTTTTCATCCATTAATAATTTACATCCAGCACGCACGTTAAAAAATTTTAAATGTTTTTCTACGGTATAGATAACTTTTCTTTGGAGTTTCTCTTGGTACTGTTATCATATTTCTATACATGTTACCGTACCGAAACATCTTCTTCCTTTCTTCCTTTGTCCAGATTGATACAGATAGGATTCCTAAATGTCAAAGTGTGTCTGACCGGTCATATCGTTGTGCTCTTCTTTATATATTATTATTGTGGGTGAGTTGGACGGATGAACAGACAGATAGACAGACAGACAGACAGACAGACAACTACCTGCCTCGGCCTCGAAAATAAAAATTAAAAATAAAATTTATTATACAAATATATATACTCCCGATTTCTTACTTCTCGAATTACTTTCTTTTTTTTCCTTATAACATGGGGGTACATCATTTTTCGAGGTTTATAGAAAAAACTAAAATTGAATTATCTGTGGACAAAAAAGAACATTTAATTACAAATTTAGGAAATATCTTTTCATCCATTAATAATTTACAAGTGATAGGTATTGATGGGTCAATGTTTTTTCATGCCTATTCTGTACCTAATGATGATGATAATAAATTATTGCCACAAACAGTTGTTGATATTGAGAAAACGAGTCATAAAGTCTGTAATATTATACTTAATTATATAAAAGTTATTATACATATTTTAAATAGTGATTCTAATCATAATAGTAATAAAACAATTTTTTTATATTTTGTTATGGATGGTCATTCGAATGTTGAAAAAAATAGGAAATTGTGTAGTGAGAAGAATAGAGATATTTTTTCAAAAATGACAATATCCCAAAAATTGGAATTGGAAAATTATACAACTGATTTATTAAAAAATATATATTTAAATAAAATAAATACATCATCTTATAACTTTAAATTGTATTCAACAGCTGGAATATCTTATTATGAAAGACTCGAAGGAGAAATTGCTCTCTATCGGTTTATTAATAAAACGTTTATTGAAAAAGAAATTTACAATAGTTTTTCTGTAATTATAAGTGGTGATTCTGATGTTACTGCTATGACTATTTTACGTAATGAATATAGACTCTTACTCATCCACCCTTCCTTCGGTACTAATAATCGAAAATCAATTGGTTTAGGAAATTATAATTCAATGATAAAACATATGGGGTTCAATAGTGATCAATGTCTCCGATATTTAATTTTACATTTCATATTTTTTGGTAGTGACTATAATGTTGGTTTAGTTTCCTGTTGGACACCATCTAAAGGAGAAATTATTTTAAAATCTATAATGGAAAATGAAAATAATATTTTGAATATATATAAAAAATTTCGGAGAAATCGATCTTTAGGTGATGAGTCTGTGATAATTCAAGTATTTGGATGTACTGATGTAATTAAAGAACACCATTTTAATGTTCTTTTAAAATTAGTTATAATCGAAGCCATTGATAGTATAAAATATTATAAATATTTGGGAAGTGATACAAAAACAACATTATTATTATATAAATCAACTTTAATTAAAAGCTTACTAAAATATATGAGAATATAATATGTTTATTTTTTTGAAACAAAATTGATAATGAATAGGGATTATTGAAACAGAAATAGGAACAAAATGCCTTTGAGTAGGCTACTGTTTGACATATATATCCAGCACGCACGTTAAAAAATTTTCAATTTTTTTCTATGGTTACAGTGAATTTGACTGATGTTTCAGGGTTTTCTCGTTGTCAATACCCTTGGCCCACATATTGCAAGTAATTTCAACTGTGGTGTTAATTTTAATTTCATTGCAAAGAAACAGATTCAATGCAACTATAATATGTTTCCGATCGCCTGGTAGGTTTGTATCGATGGGGACTAATCGGTTTGTATCGATGGGGGCGTAGTAGTCATTTCTACCGTATGTGCAAGACACCCATATAACCTCTGGCATGGTATTATTATTGAGGTACCAGATCTCTTTATTTATGTCTTTAAGTAGATTGGGCATCTGGCTGGGTAATTCCTCAATGTCATCGTAAGGATCAAATTTAGTTGTCCCATTGTAAGACAATATGATGCAAGGATATATTGTGTTGTAGTTCCAAACATTTTCTGGAATACATCCAAGCTCTGGCAAAATACAGATTTGTGTAGCATTTGGTTCAAATCCTGGGGGACATATAATCACCTGTGTATCATCAGCTTTGGTAGCATTGTTAGCATTGTTGTAGTAGTCTATAAAAAATTGATTTAGAGAAGATATTTCCTCTTCATATGTGCTCTTCTGATTAGGATTAAACTTTATATTTCCTGAAGGTATAACAAACAAACCCTCTTTCTCTGCTGTCACATCAGAGTTACATGTTACAAAAGTCACCACCACTATTAGGTACCGAAACATCTTCCTTTCTTCCTTTTAGTCGTCCAGATACAGATAGGATTCCTAAATGTCAAAGTGTGTCTGTCCGGTTATATCGTTGTGCTCTTCTTTATATATAATGGTGGTGATGGTGGGGTGGGTTGGACGGACAGACAGATGGAAGGACAGACAGACAGACAGACAGACAGATAGATAGACAACTACCTATCTTGCCTCGGCCTTGAATGTCCGGTCGGTCATATCGTTGTGTTAAAATAAAAAATCTGAAAATTAAAATTATATTTTGTCAATCGAAGTCGGTCGGTCGGTCGATTTATCTGTCCTGTCCCATAATTTTTAGAACCCCCTATATATTATATAATTAATAAAAAATGGATGGAAATATGATATTATATATTATAACATTTGCACTAACATTAGCTATTATTATAATAATAATTATAACTCAAAAACCTCTTTCTTTTTCTTTTCCACAATTACTCGAAGAAAAAAGTGAGGATTTAATAAGATATCTTACATATATTGACAATTTGATATCAGATATATCGGATAAAATTACAGAAGGAACAGATTATGATATAATGATTACTGGTCTATGTAATATAAGTGAAAAAATTAAAAAAATTTTAACTATAACAGACTCAACCATAATAGAAAATATTAAATCATCATATTTAAGTTTATCTGATAAAATCAGTGATTTACAAAAAAGATTATTAATAAGCATATTTAAAATACAAACACTTGGCGTATTGTACGAATTGAATGAAAAAGCCCTAACTAAAGAAACAAAAAACAGAATTCAGTCTAGCTTATTGTATATAAATAATTTTAATATTATAATACCAGATTTAAATATAGCTGACGTATTATTAAGACGAGATAAACGTTTTTGTATAATGCAAATACTCAAAAAAGTATATAGATTAAAGCGAATAACAATAGAAAATTTAATTATAAGTAATGGGAATGAGAGAAAAACAGTATTTAAGATATTCCGTAGTAATTTACCTGCTAGGGGATACAATACGTTATATAATACATTTAGAAAATACAATGGATTAAAAAATAAAATTACATTTGACGATGACAAAATCAAAAACTTAAGCAGTAATATGTCTGCTTCACAAAAACTTATTGAATTGGTAGATACTACATTGTCCATTATAAAGAGTGTTGAATTGTTGGATAATAATGATAATATGGTATTATTTAGTGAGGAAGAGATATCTTCAATAAATAAATGTAAGGAAGATATATTCAAATATTTTTTAAATATAGACTACAAAGAGAAACTGATAGAGTGGTTATCTTCAAATTCTCACGAGGAAATAAAAAAGTGGCATAATTCTAAAGAGAATATAGAAAAGTGGTATAATGAATACTAAGCAGCAGGCAGCCAAAGGATAAAGAATACACACACTACTATTGTGGTGGTGGTGGACTCCATTTTAAAAAGTTATTTAAATTTTTCTCCATATCTATATTTTGAGTAACGCACTTTGTTTTTCTTATTGTATTACTAAAATTATTTACGTGACTTTGAATCCATTCTTTAGCTTCTTGGGTTTTGAAATCAATCTGTTTATTTTCGTACATTATAGTAACATTAATTCCATTATCAAATTCCCAAATAATGTTTTCGGGTAAAGCAAAACTCAATAGTAATGCCTGTGCTTTCAATAGTGATATATTTCTAGCATTACGTAAAATATTATTTTCTTCTTCTCTATTTGTAATGTGATTATTTTGTATTAAATTTGTATATATTTTATCGTAATCAATTGAAAAGCTTCTTATTAAACTGAGAGTTAAACGATTAATTTGACTATTTAGACGGGTACAGGAAAGATTTTTGGGGGAAATACGCTTATTGGTGGTATTGGTGTAAAATCGTCTATGGTCAGAGCATAACAGGTTTGTCACATTTGGTCGAATTTCATTTGAATAAAAATTCATAACATTTAATTTTTTATCAAATCCAATAATAAAGTTTTTGGAAATTAACTGACATACATTATTGTAACTTCTACAGAAAATGCTGTTTCTCTTTTTTAATTGTAAAGTTTTAATGTTCTTGTATACAGACGACATTTCCCAAGTATCCAAATAATTCACTTCTAAATTAATCTCCTCCCCAAAACCGAAAATGGAAGTATTTTTTATATTGCAAACTATAAGCGATCGTAAATTGGACAGTTGACGTAGTATTTTATTGTCACCGTACACCCAAGCACAAATAATATCATATTTATAAGTTAATTTTTCAATATCAGAATTGAACTCCCTTATACTATTTTCATATTCATCACTAGAAGCCGTCGCTGGTATAGAATAGTGCAACTCATCATCGTCGTCGTTTACAATGTTAAAATTTTTATCAACAATTGCAACAGATGCCTCTGTTAATATATGATTCACAGATAAAATGTCATTGTCTCTGTCTCTATTAATTATTTTATTATAATTTATAGAAATTATCATGTAATAATTATAATTATTTGTTGTACTAATACTAGAATTAGAATTAGTTGTTATTGACATGTTGTTTTCACTTTCATAAACCTCCTCATCAAATGAACTCATTGTAGCTTTTTGTAAATAATTTCTAAACTTTATTTTTATATACTATAAATAAGAAAAAAAATAAAAAAATGAATTATAAGCCGTTGCCGTCAAATTATTCAATGGTTAATGACATAAATAGAATATTTGAATTAAATAAAATAAAAAAAATTAATGAAACGCTTCTTCAACTTTATTCTAATAATAATAGTCATAATAACTATAATACGTACAATTTTAGAGTGGTCATGTCAGTTTATACTACCAACACAGATAATGATGTAATTATTAATCAATTTATACCTCCGACAACATTTTCCCTACAGTTAAGACAAAAAATATTATCTCCCCAAAACATACTTTGTAATTTTCTAATAGGAAAAAAAGATACATACAATTTATTTTATAAGTTTCAACAAAAACTTGGTGAACATAAAGATGGAATAACAGTAATTGCGAATTTAGTTACTCCAAATTTTAATACTGGTTTATGGATTGATAAAGCTAACTTAAAATTTATTGGTGAATTAATAGCTAATTTTTCCTTAAATATTATGCAAATGAGAAATATAATAAATAAAATGTTTATCTATAACAATAGAGTTATTAATAATCCTACAGAATTTTTAGAAATTGTAAAAAGTGAACCTCAATTATTTGATTTCTGTTCATACATCTCTCAAGACAATCTATTTTCTCCATATAATGTATATATTACTAAAACATTACAGTTGTGTGATGATAATACTTTTTTATAATTTAAAAAATGAAAGCTATTAAAGAATTTGAACTGGTTCTAAAACCGTTAGTTTTTCAGAGAGAAATTAAACCCTTTGTTACTAGTATTTTTAAAAAGAGTATGACGACAGGACTCCGACAACTTAAAGAGAGTATAAATTTACAACCCTTAAAAACAAAAGAAGGGATATTGTTTAAAACAGAAGTTTTAAATAAACTTGAAAACTCTACAAATTTTCAAAGATCTCTTCAAGAGATACTTATGGGAGATATTACAAATAATTCTGCCAGAGAGCATATTATATTAAATTATCCTCACAACACATATTCAAAATATATTCAAAATTGTAACAAAATGGCTCAAGATTTGGGTTTTAAAAATGAAATTGAATTTAGGGATTTTATAGATAATTTTAAATCATCACCTCTAGAAAAAAGTAAATTGAATAAAATTTTTAAAACCTTTAAAGAGTGGGCTGCTAAAAATCCAGGGAGTATTTTAAAATCTCTTTTAGTCGTTGCAGTTGCCAGCACCTTTATAGATTTTCTACGACATTATAATGCTCTTAATACAGGATGTTTTCGATACGAAGTAAATACAGAACAAAAAGGTATTCTCAAATATGTATATATAGATAGATATTGTGATAATAATGGAGGAAATTGGAATAAATACACAAGAGGCATATACATTCTTCCTCAAGATAGTCATCCTCTGTCGAAAACTAACGCTTGGGATTGCTCATTTCAACCTAGTACATTTTTACGAACAAAAGATACAGAAGGTATTCTTAATATGGGATGTAAAGGAATTTGTGATCCTTATAATTATAATTCATTATCTTCATGGGTTCCTGGTTACGATCAATGGAAGGAACCTTCGTCATCATCATCTTCTCCCAATTTCATGTACCGTTGTGAAAAGGGTACTATTTTACGTTCATTGGGTGAAATGACAGGAGATACTCTAAGCCAAATAGGTCATGGTCTTCTTCAATCATCTTTATGGACTGATATTCCCCAAAAAATTTTTTGTTTTGTGGATTTATTATCCTTATAATTATATTTTTTTATGTACTATATTTATTAAAATGTTTTTTTGTTAAAAATTAATGAGGGGGTAGGATATAATCGTTTTCTATAGGGTACACATTTAATTTGTAGCTCACCATCATTTTCACCATCATTTTCATTATCATCCTCAACATCGTCGTCGACATCGTCGTCGTTGTCATCATCATTTAGCTCATCATCTTCATCATTTATCTCATCATCATCTTCACTTTCACTATCAACATATGATGAAGTAAATTTCTGTTTACTCCTGTGTATACCAGAAACAGAAGAAAATTTACTACGCTGGTTACTTGTTTTCGGGATAATTTTACCGTTATTATTTAATATTCCTTTCTTGTACTGGTTTTTATAGGCATACAAAAAATCTTCACCATATTCTCCAATATAAGAATTAATATCTGTTGGGGTTAAGTTAGGTCTTATATATGCAAAATATTTTTGTATAGTAGGAATTGTATAAGAGGAGAGTTTTGAAATCCATACTTCAATAAAAACGGATAAAACTCTTAGATGTAAATCTTCTACATCTTTCTTCTGAAAAATCTTTATTTCCTCATTACAAATCTTTGTATTTTTTAAATGGGATAAAATTTCCTTCATTATTTTGCTATTAAATTGTGGTGGTTTAGTATTTGGGATCC